GACTGATGGATGAATACAAATTGTTCAAAAGAAACAGGTCTACAAAAAGAGGAGGGGGAGTTGCACTATATACAAGAGAGCACTATATATCTGCAGAAATGCACATCACCCAAGACAAAATATCTCTAGAATGTATATGGGTCAATATAAAAGAGGAAAAAAAGCGACATTACCATAGGTGTATATTACAGGCCACCCAACCAACCAGAAGAAACAGATGAATTCTTTGCCAAGCAGTTAACAAATATATGCAGGAAGCACACCACAGTAGTAATGGGAGATTTCAACTATCCAGATATCAACTGGGAGACAAACTCTGCAGTGAGTGGGAGATCAAATAGATTCCTAACCAACCTAGCCGACAACTTTATCACCCAAAAAGTGGAGGAGGGAACTAGACGCAAAGCTATACTGGACTTAATCCTTACAAATAGAGAGGAAGTGATAGAGGGAATCAAAATTGCCGGAACCTTGGGTGAAAGTGACATCATACTGGAATTTAATATAATGCAAACACTAGCAATAGAAAACAATCCAACCAATGTCCTAAACTTCAAAAGAGCCGACTTTGACAAGCTCAGAGAGAACCTAGGAAAGATCCCATGGATGAAAATCTTAAAGGGAAAAACAACCCAAGAAGCATGGGAAACCCTGAAAAACACGATCACAAAAGCCCATATCAGCACAATACCATTGAGAAAGAAAAACAACAAATCCAGGAAGAAACCAGCATGGCTGCACAAAGATCTCACTAACAAACTAAAACACAAAAAGGACAAATACAAAAAATGGAAAGAGGGGCACATAACCAAGGCCGATTAACAGCAGACAGCCAGAACATGCAAAGATGAAATCAGGAAAGCAAAGGCTCAAAATGAACAAAGACTTGCAACAGAAATCAAGGACAATAAAAAAAGTTTCTTCCAACACATTAACAACAAGAAAAAAGTCAAGGAAACTATAGGCTCACTAAAGAGAGAAGATGGCAAGGAAATTACAGGCAACAGGGAGAAAGCTGAGTTGCTTAAATCATACTTTGCATCAGTCTTCACACAAAAAGAAACCATAGCCCAACACACCCCAAAAAAACTGCAAAAGACATACTAGAAACAAAAATCAAAATAAGCAAGAAAATGGTAAGAGAACACCTATCCAATCTTGACAAATACAAATCACCAGGACCCTACAGATTACATCCCAGAGTTCTGAAAGAGCTGGCAGATGTTATCTCAGAACTGTTGCACTACATTTTCCACAAATCCTGGAACACTGGAGAAGGGCTGATGTGGTCCCCATCTTTAAGAAAGGAAAAAAATGGATCCAGGAAACTACAAACCAATCAGTTTAACATCAATACCTGGGAAGATCCTAGAGAAGATAATCAAAAAACAGATCTGCAAACAACTAGGAGCAAACAAAGTCATAACTAGCAGCCAGCACGGGTTTGTTAAAAACAGATCATGCTAGACCAATCTGATCTCATTCTTCGATAAAGTGACTAAACTAGTAGACCAGCGAAATGCAGTGGATGTAATATACCTAGATTTCAGTAAGGCATTTGACAAAGTAGACCACAACCTACTCCTTGGTAAGCTAGAAAAAGGTGTAATAGACAATATCATCACCAGATGGATCTGTAGCTGGCTGACAAACCGTACTCAACGAGTAGTCCTCAATGGCACTACATCCACATGGAGAGAAGTAAGCAGTGGGGTACTTTGAATGTCTTTGAAGACATTTCACTTCGCATCCAAGAACCTTCTTCAGCTCTGACTGGATGGTGGGGAATGAAAGGATTTATATTCCTTGCAGACAGCTGTTCATTTGCATTCTTTTAGCGAGTCATTAGTGCTACCTGGAGGCTTATCTGTGTCTTCAGGATCACCTGAGTAGTGCAAATGAGTATGCAGCCTTCTTGATACTGTTGAAAGGACTGTGTTGTAGACTGGAGATAGATGATGTTGGATCCCTCCCATTCTGTTGAGATAAAGCTGTTCAATGTTGACATAGATGATGTCATGCCTCCATCGGAGCCTGAATCTGCAGAGGAAAATGAGCTGGAACAGGACCCTATGGAGGTCGAAGGAGAGGGGTCTGTGGTTTCAGAGGAATGTGGGGAAGAGCAGGCAGAGGCAGGCCAGGGCCCTTCAGGATTGGGACAGGATGAACAGGAGAGACAGAAACAGAGTTCAGGAGTTCAGGAGAGACAGAGTTCAGGCAATGAGCAAGAGCCACCCCCACCTGATACTAGAGCACGGAGAGTGGAGAGAAGGAGGGAACAACACAGGCAGGCTCAACTACTCGGAGGAGAGCATCCCGCCCCTCTCCACAAGGCACACCTGGAGACTGAGATTTAAGGAGACGCTGTGGAGAGAGGCATTTGTTGCTGATCTCTTGTTCTGAGACTTCTGCTTGGAAACCCGGAAACTCTGACCATTGGACTGGCTGACAATGTTGCTTGGATGTTCAAAGATCTCGGACTGTATTTTGGCTTCCCTTTTGAAATTGCTCAGGCAAGCGTGTATTCACACAGACTCGTTAGGTTTATGATGTATATGTCATTCCTTGTTATCTCCGTGGCCTTGAGTAAATTTCTCTCCTAATCAGACTGTATGTGAAACTACTTGCAGCCAGAGGCGGCTGAAGGTATGTGTGTCTTCGTTTGTTTGGAGGCTTGCCAGAAACGTGGGAGCATTTGGGGAAATTTGGAGCAATTAAAGGGCAGTTTGAATTGCCAGCTGACTGCATTGCCTCTGTGCTGTGCCCTGGGTCATCACAGATGGCCTCTTTGACCCCTCTTTCAAATAAGCAGTCCTCTCTGTCCAAAATGTGGAGTTTGCTGTCTTCAAAAGAGTGCCCTTTGTCTTTTAAATGCAGATGGGCTGCTGACTCTTTTCCTGATGGGTTTGTTCTCTTATGTTGTGCCATACGTTTAAGAAGTTGTTGTTTCATTTCCCCAATGCATAGATCAGCACATGGCTCACTGCATTGTACTGCATATATCACATTCTCAGTTTGTGTCTATGTGTGTTATCCTTGGGGTGGACAAACTTCTGCCTTAATGTATTCTTAGGTTTGAAGTGTGCACATATGTTGTGTTGGTTGAAGATCCTCCTGAGCTTTTCCAATATTCTGCAATGTATGGAATGACTACGTTGCTTCATTTATTGTTTTCTTCATCTGTTACGGAGGAACTCCTGCTAGGTCTTTTTTGAGATTTGATGAAGCCCCATTTGGGATAGCCACACATTCTGAAGGCTTCCTTGATGTGTTTTATTTCTTTTTCTTTTCTTCCTTTGCTGGTAGGCAGGCCTTCAGCTCTGTGGTTTAGGCTTCTGATAATTCCCATTTTTTGCTCCAGTGGGTGGTATGAATCAAAATGTAAATATTGATCCATGTGAGTGGGTTTTCTGTACATTTCAATGTTTTCCTTAATGTATACAGCACAGGCTAGATTATTTTCCTTAACATCTTCAAGTGTGAATTTGATGTATTTGTCCATCGAGTTGATATGTTTGGTGAATGCTTCCAATTCCTGTGTTTTGATGTTGACCCAAGTATCGTCCACATAACTATACCAATTAGTGGGTGGAATTCCTGTGAAGGAGTTTAGGGCTTTGGTTTCTACCTCTTCTATGTAGAGATTGGCCAGGTGAACCCATGGCGCAGCCATGTTTTTGTCTGTAGAAGCCTTCACTGTATTGAAAATAGGTAGTGGTCAGGCAGAAGGCCAGCATGGCACATATGTGGTTTGGGCTGAGTGTTGGTTAGAGGCTTAATAAAATTATTATGAGATTTTTCTATAATTTTGAAGGCTGGAATCTATATTTTAAAATAATTAATTAAATAAATAAACAGATTGTTTTGATCTTGAACAAAGGAAAATTCTCCATGTGGTTTCCTATGTGATCTTTAGCTGTTTTAGAGAGCATCCAATCCCAGAATTGACATCTCCCAACTAAATTTGGAAACAGGTTGAGCAAATAGGGATGGGCTATTTCCTAAGTCACACATTTTTCCTTCAGTCAGGTTATTTTATAGATTATTCATTTTCTTTTCCAGGAAAAGAAGAAGCTTACCTCATGGTTAAAAAAAGCAAACTTGCAAATGTATGCTCTGCATATCAGATATAGGAATGAAACAGGTTAATAAAGTCTAGCCAGGAGGCAAAACTACTATTATGACACAGTTCTTCAAGAAAACTTCATATTACATTCTATTGCAAACCAAGGCCAAAGTTTTGAAACCAATATGGACTCCACTGAAAGGGAAATTAACAGCGAACAGCTTTATACAATGCAGAACATACAAATAGAGAGAAAAAATAAAGTTAGGAATACAGTTTCTATAAGTGATAATGCTAGCAATGGGAGAAAAAAAGGATAAGTTTTTATTGAGGAAATGACACCGTGTGAAGATAGTCTAAATTGCTTAATTCTATCTACAGTTAAGATCCTCTAATCAATGTATTATCCTGTGTAATTGAGAGCAATTTGGTGACTTGTACAGGTTACAATCAGAAGGGAAAGAAAACTGAACTAAAAGAGAAAGGAGGTCATGAAAAGCCTGAGAGTATCAATGTAAATAGCAGAAAGGACACAAGTTAGAGACATACAAAACAATACTTTACAGAAGATAAAGAGAAAAAAGCAGAATGCTACTGGTATTTCTACATCTGTTGCCCCAAGTAGTCAGTCAGTTTATATGGACAGAAAAATGATGTATTCTGTGATGAAATCCAGCAAGAGAAGCACCAAAAAAGTCTTATAACAACTGAGAATTTTCAACTGAATGGACTATTTGGTGTTGGAGGGAAATGGAGGGACACACAAAAATCAAGAGATAATGAGGAAACAATATTCATCAAGGCAGCATGGCAGAAAGTAAAATTCTGAATAGGAGTATTTCTTATTGCAACACATGCTTCAAATCTCAATTTAATTGCTATAAGCAAGTTAATGTTACAACCATAAAATAGAGTATGCATCATTTAGACTTACTAATGTAGCTTTCTGTAATTCTCCAGCTGAAAAATATGCTATGCCTAAACAGAAAGCAGTTTCTCCTTCCATCTTCATATTCTCTGCTAAATAGAAACAAACATTGTTTTGTAATTAGACTTAAAAATAAATTAAAAGGAACTGAATTTTTTTGTGAATATTTTGATTTCAGCTCATCTTAACAAATGTTAATGTTATCTACATGGAAAGAAGTATTATGTCAAGTGTTTTATTTTGCTTTTGTGATGGGTGCAGGTAAAGGAATGTAATAGAAAATAGAAATAGAAAACACTTGTTAGGCACTGGCAAACAGTGTGCGAGGAAACCAGAAGAGCAAGTGCTTCAAGTTCACCAGGAGATTCCATAACAAGCTCTTTCTATTTATCTCTGTGCCAGACATGTCCAGAGAGGTGTCATGTCAAAATCTGCATTGCAACCCAAGTGTTGGCTCTTTTGTACATATGTGTACCATTAATGCATCCATGAATGGGTAGAGCTTGGATAATAATTGTGTCAAAGTTCTATCTATCCCAGAGTGATAAAATAGAATTGCTGTATCCCATAGAGATAAAAATTACTCAGAGAATTTGCTTAATATTATAAGGGTTTTTCTTTGTCACTGAGCTCACTGTTTTCCTTCTATCTTTAACCTGATACAAACTGATTATCAATCATGTATTATTTGTTTATTATATGGCAGATACTGCCAGAGGCCTTATTTCTTACTATGGACTCAATTTTTTAAGTTGTAGTCCTGGATGACTCCATTTTTGGAGTTAAAAGCTTTCTTGAAATAAATGGATTCCTATGTGTCAGCAAGTAGGTACTTCTGTTTTATAAGATTTAGAAATACATTTATAGCAGTTGTCTTGAATTTCATTGAAAATAATCATCAAGCACTTGGTGATTTCTTTTTTCTATTTTTTACTTCATTCATGGGAAAATTCAGGCTTACATAGGAAAGAAAGACAATGCAAAAATGTTATTTCTTTCTCACCTTCTTCTGCCATTTTTAAAGCTTTTGTTAGAATTCTGATGGCTTCTTGATGTTCTTTAATTGCTAGCATTTTGTCTGCCAGTAATGTGTAAATTCTCCAGAGATGCTCACAGGCTAGTGAGTTGAAATTCCGGCCTGTGTCATCTTTCCACATCCGTCCCACTGTCAGGTTATAGAATGCTTCATAATGTTCTACAGCTTTCAGGAAGTGACCTGAAGAATACAAAACAACTCTTAATCAAGGAGCCTCAGTAGAATGTTATATATTGATAAAACAATCATAATGGTAATAAAGCTATGAAGCCCCTCCCCCCCAAAGCAAAGAAGCATAATTTTTCAAAAATGTCCATAGACACTTAAAAAGAAATCATAGAAAGTAGTATTTTATATAGGTACCCTATGAAGAAATATTTCCAAAAATGCCAGATTAGATTTAGCATCTATGTTTTATTTATTTTAGCTTTAAGAAAATGGTGTAAGTAGTTTAAGTAGGTTATACCATTCATTCAGACAGTTTCATCAATACATAAATCAAAAACACCTGTAGATCATCACAAACATATTGAAATATTTTTAAAAAACACTGTTACATAATAAACACATGGAGCTTTAGGATGAAAAGTCTCAACAGAGGACCAAAACATATTCAGTCTACACGTTGTTAAATCATCAGCCCTATTTTTTGTTTTTGATCAAGTTTGTTAAATTCATATTCTCCCATTTTGCATAATTTTTTCATTAAACAATAACCACTAGTATATAAAACTTTAATCATGAATGCAACACAGACAGAATTGGAACACATAGATTATTCCTTTCTACAGTTCCATGATCCAGAAATCTACTAACAAGGACAAATGCAATATAGAACATGGGATACCTGTCCTTTCACCTATCATCTAATACAGGGGTCCCCAACCCCAGGCTGCAGACCGAGCCATGGACTGATACCAATCCACAGCCCATCGAGAACTGTGCAAGAAGTGGGTGAGTACACGAAACTTCATTTGCACATGCAGGGGATTATGTTGAGTGCATGAACCCATCTCCTCCCCCTGCCGCCGTCACATGCAGCATCTGGTCTGTGCAGTCAAAAAGGTTGCGGACCGCTGATCAAATCGTTAATAGTATGTGAAATTAACATTGTCCAGCCTTGTCAAGCGTAGTGTATTTGAGAGAAGGAAGTTCCTACAAGTAATATTATTCCTAAAATATGTCTTCAAAAGTAGAATGTTAAATGGATCAATTCTATGAATTTAATATGGGCAGCTTTATCGGTCTGACAGAAATTCCAAGCAAGCTGCTCTTTAAAATAAAGTCATAAATAGTTTTTTGGGTAAGGAAATTTGTCCAGTAGTTTAAATAAATTATTGTATGACAAATACATAAAAATAGCTACATTGTGAAAGAAATATGATTGTACATAGTAATCCAAAACAGTGATTTTTGATAAATTACTATGTTCATACAGCCATGAAGCAGGAGGTGCTAAATAAAGTGATTCTATCTGCTCTTGATCAGATATTTTATTTTAGGGGATTAAAAAGGATAATCAAATTTTAAACTTGAACTAGCCATTCACCCTGATTAAATATCCTAATCCAGAAGAGCTATTAGAGGACATAAATTATTAAAGTACAGAGACATACTAGTATAACTCTTTATAATATAGTACACTGTAATCTTTAACAAAGTGTCTATCATTTGATCAATATAATTGACAAAATAAACACACAGTATTTAAAATGTAGAAGAGCAGAAATTCCACAGTAAGAAATTGGACAATATTATCCATAATATCCTATGCCAGGTTACAGAGGTACTATATTCTAAGATAAAAGGAGTTCTAGTTGATTTGGAAGAATGAATGGATATGCATAATCTACTGTTTTCATAATACAATTCTTCCTTACATTTATTCTTCTACAAAACTGTTTCCAAAGTCTCTATTTTTATTAAATAAAAACTATCTTAGGCAAATATTAATGAAAAAGAGATGCACAAAATATCTATAATTTTGTACTATTTTTAAATAGAGAGATTGACTAGATATTAACACAAATGGGTTTTAACATGAAGCTGCCATAAAAGCAGGGACATAAATGTAATTCTCCTAGATGCTATTTTGATGCACATTTTTGATTCCATGAATATTTTATGAAATGGTCCAAACTAAAGCCATATAACATTCCTGCATTACTGATGCTTGCACCCGTAAGCTACAAACATTAGAGGCATGATTGAATGCATTAAAATGAACTCATTCAGCAGCACATTGATTACTTGAAGGCGGGTGAAGCAAAAGAAGGGTTGCTGCACTTAAGAAAACAGTGCACAAATTTATAATATAGAAAAATAAAGATATTAAATTGGAAAAAAATGGCATTCAGTAAGAAAATGATTATGAATCTTGCATTGGCCTATGTGTATCAATATAATAACAGTTAGGGAGGCTATTAATTAGGTTTCAAAGATTATTCTGGTAAATAAAATTCTG